TCTTGGCCTCGTCGTTCGCGCTAGCCCAGCTGTCAACCAACCTGCTGTGGGGATACCTGTCGGACGTCGTGGGGAGAAAACCGACCATGGTGCTCGGCACCTTCATGTTGATGGGCTGCTTCGTGGCCTTTGGCTTCTGCAAGGCGTACTGGCAGATCATCGTCGTCCATGTGGCCATGGGCATGCTCAACGGCAATGCTGCCGTCGTGCCAACCGTGCTGGGCGAGGTCACGGATCGCTCAAACCAGAGCAGGGCCTTTACCTGGCTCCCCGTCATCTATTCCCTCGGAGGCATCACTGGCCCTGCATTCGGAGGCCTTCTCGTCGGCAAGCTCACGCCTACCTATCCTTACCTCGCCCCGAACCTGACCAGCGCCGGCCTTCTTTTGTTCAGTGTTGTTGTCGTTGGTATCTGGTTCGAGGAGACGTTGGAGAGCGCTCACGACGACGCCCATGAGGCCTGGATTCCAGAGTGGCTACGAAATGCCTGGTCCAAGATATGGGGCTCGTCCGAGCCGCGACGCAACTCTTGGAGCTCGCGTTGGCCTCGCCAAGGATCGCGCGCCGTCTTGGAGCACGACGACGAGGACGACGAAGAGGACGACGAAGCGCACGCCGGAGAGGGCCAAGGCCTTTTGCACCATGCCTCTGGCCTAGAGGGCACGGATGAGGATGCCAAGCACGGAGACGAGCACACGTCATGGCGCGAGATTCTGAGCCGCAACACCATCCTTGTTCTTCTGACGTATCTTGTTTTCCAGCTCTCAAACATTTCATTCAACGGGCTGTATCCCATTTTTGCCAACGCCGATACCCCCACCGGTCGCGACCTGTCGCCCAGCACCATCGGTGTCTGTCTGAGTGCGGCGGGTGTCGCTACCATCATCTTCCAGGCCTTCATCTTTCAGCATCTCAAGGCGCAACTTGGCAACTTGGGGAGCTATCGCATTGCCCTATTGGGACTAGCCATCAGCATGCTACTCATGCCCTGGATTGGCTACAAGGATGACAAGCCACTTTTCGGAATCGGAACCGGTCAAGCATGGCTCTATGCTGAACTGATTGCCGTTCTGGTTTTCAAAAATATCTGCGCCGTTGGCGGTCTATCGAGCGTCATGCTTTTAGTCAGTACACCACTTTCCTCTCATGCCACGAGACGCAAGGCTAACACCTCAAGATTACTAATTGTGCACCTACACATGGCACTCTCGGCACTCTCAATGGCATCGCTCAATCACTGTCCGCTGCTGGCCGCAGTATTGGCCCCTTTGTTTCAGGTGGACTCTTCACCATCGCCATCGACGTTCGTCCCAAGGGAGAGGCTCTTGCCTGGGGAGTTTTCGGCGGCATCGCCTTCCTCGGCTGGCTTGGCACTATGGGCATCCGAAATCGCGGTCTCGAAAGCGACGACTGGGTGGGCACTGAAGACCACCCTGAAGACGACGAGGCTGAGCCGTAGACTTGGCTAGAGATGGGTGTATTTGGGTTATCTTTTTTCATCATGTCTCTTTGTTCTTATTCACGACTGCATGAAGACGGTGTTTATATACGGATGGGGCGGGCAAGCATGAGGATCTCTGGTTACGAGCGGCGGTCTGCATCACTAGGCGATATGGGACTCAGATCTGGCACACAGCTGATATTAAATGTATTGCTTTACGAATACGATTCATGCTTGAGGCGTCGCGAACTCATCGCGGCGACAGAATTCCATTACTTTCGTGTACTGCACGAGAATATGACAAGAAGATAGAATTAGGAAAAAAAAGTGCATCCCGCAACGCCAGCCTTGTCACGGCCACGGCCTCCTGAGGTTCGGATATAGGGCACCTATTGGTGTCCTCGATCCTCCCCTATTCGCTCCAGGTAGATATCGCGCCGAAAATTGCATCCACGACCTTTGCTGCGCGCCGTTTCCACCCTGGTTATAGATATCTGGCGCCCTCCGTGGTTTCTCGTATGATCTAGCAAGTTCATCGAGTGTCTTGAAATTTGTAATGGTGCTCTTGGTTGCATATTCTTCCATAGGTCCCTTGAACGTTCTTTCTGGTCCTTCGAGTTGTCCGAAGGCAGAGCTCCAGAGATCTGTCGTCGGACGGGTCGATGGCGGCGGTTCTCGCGAACGCGTTAGGCCGGGGACTCCACGTGATCGTCGTCGGTTGCGCTGGCGACGACGGCGGCCCTGTCTTTGCAAAGGGAACCGGCTGCGGCAGTTGCGGCACATCGGGGGTGGGGGGGGGGGGGGGGGGGGGGGGGAGGGGAAAAGAAGGGGAAGGGGGGGGGGGGGGGGCGGGGGAGTGGCGGGAAGGGGGGAAGAGGC